TATTGACAAAGATGTGGAGAAATGGGAACTGTGGGACTGTAAATTACTGTAGCCACTACAGAAACACAACAAGCTCCCCAAAAGACTAAAACTAGGAGCCAGGCATGGTGGCACCCATCTCTAACCCCAAAGGGCTTGAAGCCAGCCTAAGACATTAAAATCGCCTCTTAAGAGAACAAACAAAAAGATCTACCATGTGAAGGATCTATCTTCTAGAGCAGCATCTGGATAGCCAAAGAAAATGAAACAAACTTACCAAAGAGACAACTGCACTTCCATGTCTATGGTAGTACAGAATCAATGTAGGTGCAATAACAAATGGAAAAGAAAATGTGGCATATTCCACAATAATGAATTCCTATAGGTCTGAATTAGAATAAACTCTACGATTTTAAAGGAATAACTAAGAACATTTAATTACAGGACACAAAAAAACTACCTAAATTCAAAGAATACAGACAAATGTATTTTTTGTTCTGAAAGTAACTGCCAACTAAGATTATCATATCCTGATAAGTATATGGACAAACTTTATATGATAAACAAACTGACACAACCTATGAAAACTAAGCCAGTATTATAGAGGATAACTGAAGAAGTTCTATGCACTGGAGAAAAACATGTATATGAGGATATATGAAAGAAAAACCATGATGGAACAGTAGATAAGCAAATAATGAACATGAAAAAAGGGGGGAAGCATCAATACGATGATGAGAATTAACACACACCCTTCAATAATAATTGTAATCTCTAACACAATAGACTTCAAAGCACAATTACAACAGATCAATTCATACTGAGTTAAGGGGGTAATTCAAAACAATATAACCACTTAATAAACATATGCCTTTTGTTTGTTAGCTTGGCATGCAATGCACTAGATATCATAGCATTTTCAAACAATGTATATTTGGGCAGGTTTTCCTTTCCTCTTCTCTCCCCCATCCATCTTCCTGGTACCCTAATTCTCCCTCATGATCTCTTTTGTGTGTCACAAGTCCTTCTGCCCACTCTTCATTCTTCCTCATCTGCTATTACCCTCTCAGGTGGTCTGAATGAGACCAGAAAGACCAATGGATGTGTAGCATCTCTGCTGCAGGACGTGAGTCCTCCTCTGAGAATGCGCTCAGGAGTGGGACAGCTGGGTCGTATGACAGTACTTTTAAGGTTTTGAGAAACCTCCATACTGAACTCATAGTCACTAACTCATTGGGTTGCATTCCCACCAGTAATAAAGTTCTTCTTTCCCCCAACATTCTCCCCAGCATGTAGTAATAAAAAACATCCCAACTAGTAGCTGCTGAGATGGTGCCTGCCATCAAACATAATGATCCTTAGGACCCAGAAGAGAGGACTCAACAGTACCGACCTTCCTGGGCTATGATAAGGACAGAGTTAATACACATAAAAGCCCTTATAACAGTGCTTGCCAAACAATATATGAATCATTATTACTATTTACTCACTTAAAAACATTTTAAAATAATTAGATTCTGAACTCATGGGGCCCTTGAAAGTGGCTCTCTCCTGCCACCTTGTGGGATACTGGAGACTAATGTTAGTTGTCAGGTCTATACTTTAATACCTCTGCCCACTGGTGTTTTATTTTTTTATTTTACTGATTTTATTCTAGCAAGGGTTCACTATGGTTCTTAAAATGACAGGACTGTCACAGAGTGAGCAAAGTCAGCAGCCTCCTGCAGTGCACTGTTTAACCACCTTCTTCTGAAGACCGGGTCCAGATATTAATGCTCAATTATGAAAGAAACCAAAAGCCTGGCAAAGTGCTTGTGGGAGCACACCAGGAACAACAGACATCTCAGATGAAGGACAATTAAATGAGCTGGAAGGGATAAGGACTGAGCAGTGTGGTCTTGAAATGGCTACACTTCCTCTGTTTTAAATAGGAGGACAGACAGCAAAGTCAGCTTAGTAAGAAAGAACTATGTAATAAACATAAACTCACTCTGGGACAGGAACGGCAACTTCCTAAAACAGATGCAAAAGTGAAAACCAAAGTGTGTCCTAAGCAGGACTAGTGCTTTATGTCGATTAGACTTCATGCAGGGCTTACAAAAGTCTCTTTAATATTTAAGATCCACAGACTACTCTGAAACTGCAGGGGACTGGGGCGGATGGTGGAGATGAGACAGAGGAGGGCCGGAAGCAGAAATGAAGTAGGAAAGGCCAGCTCTCACTGCACAACAGCTCAGTGCTGCCACTCTCACTCTTGCCCATCTTCTGGGACTTGGATGCCCTCCCATAAATGTCACACTTGGGACCCTCAGAAAGGCTGTCAGGAAAACTCTGTTAATTAAGCCTTCCTTCCTTCCCTCTACCTGCTCTCCTTCCCTCTTGCAGCCCCTCTGCTTCTGCCTCCCACTGTGTTCCTTCTTCATCTATCAGTTCAGTTCCTACTGACCAATACAGCCACACAGATACACCATCACTAACAAACCCCCCATTTCACATTAGGGTTCCTTTCACTGTAAATGCTATGGTCTGGGAAGTTTTATAAATAAATTTTTTTTGTTTTGTTTTGTTTTTGTTTTTTCAAGCCAAGGTTTCTCTGTATTGCTTTGGAGCCTGTCCTGGAACTCACTCTGCAGTCCAGGTTGGCCTCGAACTCAAAGATCCACCTGCTTCTGCCTCCTGAGTGCTGGGATTAAAGGCGTGCACCAACAATGCCCAACCATTAATAACTTTTTATTGTGGGTGTATATATAGGCATAAAATTTGCCTCTATCTATATAAGTAAAATGATTAAGCAATCTCTTGAATACTCCTCTTACAAAACAAACTCTATAACCATTGAACAATGTATTTTTTCTTAAGCATAATTTTAGAAAATAAATATTTTTCAAAATGTCTTCACAAAATTTTCTCAAATTTTTTCTAATCTAAAAGTTCTAACTTATCATATTACTATATCAAATAACCATAAAATGATGATTTTCATTTTAATATCAAATTATACATTTACTCAAAGTACTATTTATTTTATAGATATCTAGTAAGGGGCAGCAATATAATTAAGAAACTTATTCCTTTAAATCAATTTGACATATACAGTACTGAGTGATCTTACCAAAATACTGTTACATTCCTAAATACCACAAACTAATATTCAAACTGAAATGCTTTACCAAATTTTTACTTGGGGAAGGAAAAAGAAAACTAGAAAAATAAATGCCTAACTAACTGGCATCTAATTACATACATTGTAGCTTTTCTATCTCATCCTGAAAGGGAAGGCTTCTGTTTAATGAAATCCATCCAATCTGATCATTTTGTCCTATAGAAATACACTGACATCACACTGTACTCTACTAATTGTATAATTGTGTTCATTTCAAGTGTGTTTAAAGAAAAGAGTAAAACCCAGCTTATATTGAACAATCAGTTCATTAGAATTTCATTTTACAAATATTTCGAACATCTTTAATCAACTCGCCCTGTTTATCTCTCTTTAGGCTAATTCTCACACACATTTGTCTTCTCTAGCCTTCAGTCACTTCCTTGGTCTAATTCCTAGTCATAAAACTGATCTGTTTCTCAATGTTCAATCTAATGTACAAGGCACGATTAGTACCACAGGACCCATGAGCCTCCTTCAAAGGAAAACCACTCACTGGGGTGAGCACAGTGGTGGAGCACTGCCCCAAGGAGGATGGAGCTCAATCCCTACCAATGCAAAGACAACAGAACTGAGCCTGGAAGTGCAGGTTTGTAAGTTGGCTACTTGGGAGTCTGAGGCAGGAGGATTCAAAGTTCAAAGTCTGCCTGGGCAAAGTGAATTTCAGGGCAGCCCGAGCAGCTTAGCGAGACCATCAAAATGAAGACTGAGAGAGAGCAGGGGCCATGGTTCAGTAGGTAGAGCACTTGCCCAGCATGTGTGAGGGTCTGGTTCAATCCACAGTATCACAAAAACAAAAAACAATGTAGCCTAATGTATTCTTTAGCTTTCTGTGCCTAAGTTTCCTCATTTGAGAATTGAGAACAAAAAAAGTCTATATTCTCTAGCTGTATATGTGGTAACCAGCAGGTACTAACTTATTTAATGAAAAGAGTAAATTCCTCAGCATTGCTGGAGCAGTGCACGTCAAAGACTTAACACACTAAAAGCTCACATTAAATAAAATTATACTCACTGCCCAAACTTTCAGTGTCCTATTTCTCATACCAATTCAACACATTTTTGTTGCATTTTCAAAAGAAGTCTGTGGTTATTAATTAGCCTTACTGTGTCTCCAATGCCTTCTCCTGCCATTTCAGCTTATGTCTATAGTTTAGGAGCCCCACCCCTCATTACTACCTTTCTTTGTCCAGCCCAATAACAAAGCTTTGCACTCTTACCTCACAAAAAACCCTTTCCAATCTCTCTGGCTTCAATCACCCCTCCTCTTCTTGGAACCCTGTCTTTATTTACTTTGTGCTATCTACTGCTGTCTAAGCTTTTGACAAACTTTGTAAATTCCATTGCACCTTTACTTTTCATATCCCTACCTGGCCCCAAAACACTATATTTAGTACAAAGTGGGTGATCTAAACTATAAACAAGATGCTGTGACACAGGTGGGTAAAGGTGCGCTTCACTGTTAGGAGTGGTAATCATCTTCTTTTTCACCCTTCCTTATAGTTACCAGGGATGCTATGACTTGGCGACCTTAAAACTGTTTAGTTCCTAACAGCACTCTTGAGTATATATGAACAAAAGAATGCATGAACAGTTGTCAGTGAAATAGTAAGGGCTACTTATTTTCTGTGTCTACAGCTTTTGTATTTTGATAATTCCATGTTCATATAAGACATCAGAGTGACCCTCTGTTGTACTGTGCCCAGTGTTCCCTAATTAATGTTTACTGCTCAGTGTTTTCCGATAACTGGCATTTTCATAACGTTATGTTCAAAGCACATGACTTTCTATTGCAAAAGTGATACTATCAATGTATTTAAATATATGTAAAACACCAAATATAACTTTAAAATATTCTTACCTAATCCTTTTTGTCCTGGATTCTTTGCAAAATTAAAAGTAAACTGGTAAAAATCCTTAAATCGTCCTGGTTCTTTCAAGTCTTGTTCCATCTTGGGTATTTGGGCCTTTAGTTTTTCTATGCTGTCACATCTACATTGTAAAATTAAGTTTGTAAATGGTTAACTTGTTACTATAAATTAAAAAACTTAACTTAATTACTCCTATGAGGGCTAGCATTTGTTTCCTAGAACTTACATTTTAAAAATCAGATCTATGGGATTTCATCTTTTTACACATAGTAAGAAGGCAGTCTCCCTCAGTCACAAGGGATATAAGTCCCTCACTGGTCCCTGCAACTTTGGTGAGTGCCATGCCTCAGACATATGTGGCTTCTTGTTGCACATGATACAAAGTGTAATTTACACAAGAGACAAAGCAACATATTAATCAGAACTAATAATAAAATAATGATGCAGTAATGAAAATGATATGCATGTATTATCTGTCTACTTAAAAGGAAAAACTTCTTGGGCACATCTCAATTGCCAGCACCACTACTCCTGTGCTGGTGGACCACTGTGAAATAGAGTAGGGCCACCTGAACACAAGGACTGGGATAGCAATCTGGAACTGAGAAATCCACTAAGTGACTATCAGACAGTCAGGGTACAGTGAGAATATGCTGGACAAAGGGAGAGCTTATATTTCAGGATGATTTAAAATCTACTCAGAACGATGCCCAACTTAAAACTTAGGGTTTTTTTTTTTTTCTGGAAACTTTCAACTAATAATTTGGAAACACAGTCAACTATGAGTTACTAAAATTTCAAAAAAGCTACAGATAAAGGGTGACTCTTGCCTAGAGTTGGCTTAAGGAAGACAATAGAATGATGTAATGTTAGAATTACTTTTTATATCTATTAATTCACCAAACTCAACACAGTGACTTACAGATGGCACTTCTGCCTCAGTGAATAGCCAAGAATGTACACTATGGTGGGTGTGGCTAGCACCACAGTTAGTCATGGGTCTAGCTTCCAAATAACCACAAAGTCTCTTGTTAAGGAAGCGTTCTTCTTGAACACTTGTTTTTAATAGTGTTAGCTAAAACCTGTACTGCCTTCAGCTGAATTATTTAAAGGATGATTAGGATGTTTTTCTGTTTACAAAGCTTTCAAAGAGCAAAGGTCCATGTACCACATTAGTCTCCTCATCACAAAGGCTTTATGATGGAAATGTCCCATTTCTTAAAACTACAAGCAAATCAGCCTGCTCTGTCCTCTAAACATTTCTGCTTTTTATCTTCCTAATATATTCTCTGTAGCATTTCTGGTCATCTTTTATATTACATTCTCCAGAAACAGTGACACTGCTTTTCCATAAATTCTAGTGACATCTGTCTGTCACAGTTAAGTCCAGCAGGCTCAAGCTGGCCTGGTTTGGTCATAAAACAGGGTCCAGGCACACTATCAATTTATTGCCTTCTCAGCCCTGTTTTGTAGTGGTCAGTCACAAACCATTGGACATTGTTTTTCTTGCCAGTTAGCCCCACGTCAGGGTCTACTGACAGGGCTACAAGGCCAGAAGAGGAAGAGAAATTTTTACCCAGGTTGTTGTCAATAGAGGGAAATGGTTTTAGTGTATGAAAGGTCCCAGCAGATTCTACCAGTGGTGACAACACTTAATAGCATCTCACCCTTTGGTCTCTAACCAATTTTTATCCTGCATTGAAGCTTTAGAGTAAGCATCCCTCTCCTGCAGCCCTGCCTCTCCCCCAAGGGACTGGCTGGCTGGCTCACTTCATGCAGTCCCAGGGGTGGCAAGAGCTTTTACCACCTCTTTACACCTTAGGGTTTTCTTTTACACAGTATAGTACTTCTTTACACATTCTGTGGTCAAATTACTAGTGAGGTTGTATCCTGACTGGGCCCAGTTTTCCAATGTCCCTCACACTCAGTAAGCAGTGTACCTGCTTTTAGTCCTGAGTGGAATATCACCTGGTTTTATGATCTCTTTTGGGTCTGTAAATACTTCCCTCACAGAAGTGGTTATGAAGAGGTAGGCAAAGCAGTTACTGGGATGAAGCCATGCTCTGTTAATGTGAGCCTTTTCTGTTCGGTTATATTTTAGAGACAGGATCTCACATTGTAGCTCGAGCTGGCCCTGAGTTCCTATGTGGCTGAGAATGACCTGAACTGACCTGCTTGGATCTGCCTGCTGAAGGCTGGGGACCATTGGGCTGCCCACCAGGCCAAGCTTTCAGACAGTCCCACCAAACAAATTGTCAACAAAACCTTGACCTATTACTTTTCAACCTATCTATTCAAACACATTCAGCTAAACCAGCCAGCAAGGCACTAAGTAGAACAAAAAGCACTTAATACCCTCTAGTTATTAAATTTTACATTTTACCAGTTTAGAATACACAGCCTGAAATTAAGAAATTATTTACTTGCTCGTTTCACTTTGCTATAAATATTAATGTCTGATAATTTTAATATTAATTTGAATAGTAGCTCCCTTCTAGGAACAAATGATTAAAAGACAATGCAGTTAGAGGAGGATACAAAATGAAACAGGTATTTGGCAAACTCAGAAAATACCAGAGAAACAACATATTGACTCAATACTGTTTGTGGGCTAGTCAAAACAAATTTCCATTTAAAAACAGATGAAAAAAATGAGGTCCATCATTGTCACAGTTTGGGCCTCATCTCCTATGGAAGTTGCGTACTCACCCTAACTCTGTCATGCCGTCCATGAACTCCTGTTTGGAGAACTCACACTGTGTGGCTGCCCTGAACTTCCATGCAATGATCAGCACACTGATGCTGGCTGGATCGAGGGCCAGGTCATCACAGAACTGCTGTATACCATCTATTCCAATTTTATTTTCATCTTGAGGATCTTTAAAAGACACCGATACAATATAAAATTAGTGCCATACTTACTTATGTTTTGTTCCTAACAAAAAGATACTGTTTTGTTTTCTATTTTAAAACAAATCACAATATATGAAAGACATGAAGCAGTATTGTCTTTATAGATGTTTCCCCATATAAAAACAAAAGTCACTATTAAAGTGTATAGGGAAGTGTAAAAGTAGTCAGACATTTAATTTATTTAAAATTCCACTTATGGAGCCACAGGCTTAGTGTCACACTCCCAGTACTAGGGAGGCAGAAGCAGGTTGATTTCTATGAGTTCAAGGCTAGACTGATCTAAAATATCCAGAGTTGCATAATTAGGTCTTAAAAAAAAAATACAACCCACCCTAAACGTATCCATGTAAAAATGTTACACACACAAATAAAATCAGACATGTTTATACAAAGACAAGGGGCTTTGGTCAACACACCCACATTTTATTTAGTCAGGTATTCAAAATTAGCAATATGAAATGAGAAAACTTTGATTCTTAAAACAAAATCATTTTACCACAATCACTTAAGTTCTAGTAAAACTAATATACAATTCAACCTTAATCTCAACAGTCTAAGTTTGATGTTTACAACAGGAAACTGTAAAACTTTAAAAAATAAAAAATATATATACAAAGAGAGTCCCCTCTACTGCTACCAAATATGATTTGCTAAACATCTAAAGTAGCAATTATGATGACACACATCAGGCTGTGTGCAGTTTAATGGTAGAGCACTTGCCTGGCCTACAGGATGGTAAAACCCTGGATTTACTCCCAGCATTACTAAAAACAAAAAATAAAACAAATCTTTGGAGCATAAAGTATAATACCATTTGGGAGAAATTTTGAAAATACCTCTATATATGTCTGTGAAAACAAAAGACATGTATGTATTCATGCTGGACTATTAAATACAGGTTACCCTCAGGAGAATAAGGGTAAGTTAAACTGTGAATATTTATTTATTTATTTATTTATTTATTTATTTATTTATTTATTTTGCTTTTCCTCCCTCTCAGTGATGGTCTTAATAATTTAGACCAGACTAACCCTGAACTCTCAGTCTGACTGCCTCTGCCTCTGAGATATAGGCTTGTACCATTATGCCCAGATATCCAAGTTTTAAAAGTATGTGTTACGTTACAAAAAGTTATTATACAGACTTTCTTAAAACCTGGCTCAGCAAGTTTTACAAACACAAGGTCAGGAAAAATTGCCTCTAATCTTCCATTCTCAAACTACAAGATGGGGGATGGGGCTAGAAGGGATTAAGTGCAAAGGAAAGCCACTTCTAAGATCTTTCTAGTCCCAGGGCCTACTGTAGCCCTGCTACACACACTGAGCTGTGTCTCAGACAATCCTTTCACTCAGGAAAACTTCACTCAAAGCATTTAAGTAGTGTGGCACTCACCTTTGTATCTATTGTAAAGTTGTTCTAGCTTCTTCCTGTCCAATGATCCTTTTACACTCTCCCGTATATAAAGTTCTGGATTTTGAAAAAAATTATCTGTTGCAACATCTAACTTCCAGTCATTTTGAGAAAGACAACTCACTGCAGTTTTTTCACTAGATTGTGTGAAGATCATAAACTGACGAACTTTATCCTTCTGCGATGATTTCAACTTGTTCTATGAGAACCAGAAAACAAACTAAAACTGGGTAAAAAAAAAAAATCACACATCACTACACATTTCAATGTAGCTAAGTCATCAACATTAGGAATGTTTTTCTTCATAAAACATGGAAGAATTTTTATTTTCTAAGACTTATTTGTGGTCTATCATTAACCAACAAGACAATTTAAAAGTATCCAAAGCACAATGTATAGCACAGTTCTGGAAGAAGAAGCCAGCGTAGACGGAGCAAGAGTAGTCAGCCTCCTTGTCAAAGAAGACACACTGAGTCAATTCTCTATGGGAAGGAGAACTAAACAGGTACTGCTGCAATCCGAATGCCCAGTCCAGCACTACCTGCCTGAGTCTGCTATTTTCACCAAATGGAGGAAGGTAACAGAATATGAACAGCCTAGATGGTGTTTAGGAAACAATTCTTACTAGAATTCCCTCAAATAAGAACCATCTACCCTACTTAGATACTTCCTTTAAAAAGGTAATCTATTTATTTAGATAGCATATGTGTGTGCATGTGGGTATGTGCATGAATTGCACAAATGTATGGACACACATGTCAAGATGCTAATGTGGATGGCAGAGGACAATTTGTAGGAGTCAATTCTCCCTTCTCCCATAGATGTTGTAGGGATAGAACTCACTGCTGGTCCCTGAGACACTTCACATTAAGAGTCCCTTTTCTTTCCCTAGAAGGAATCATCTCTTTTTCTTTGCTTGTGCCTAAAAGGCATCAAGTTTTCACTTCTCTGACTTAAACCCAAAGCAAAATGAGGCAGGGCTATCAGGCTCTCTGCTCTCTCCTACTGGCAGAGACTGTGTGCTCTCCCCACCTCTCAAGTTGGGCTCCTGGGGACAAAGGCGCACTACACTCTTCCTCCTTCAAGACCCAATTCAGTTTCCTCAGCTCTTTTAATGCTACAATGTAAATGGAGGGCCAAACACATTAAAGATATAGTATTCTTTTAAGCAACACAACTAAGACCCCACCCCTACTCCTACCCCCAACCCCTAAACTCTGACCTAGTCCAAACTGGCACATCCCAAACTCCAGCCTCTTTCAGAATGTGGGGTAAACAGACCCAGAAGGATGAGTTCTTAGTTTTTGAAACTCACCCAGCTTGTGCAGGAGAAATGAGGGAAGAACAAAATAGCCTTACAAACTCAAGTCCTGGTAATTTTTCTAGAAATCTCCCTGCTTAATGGATATTTAAAAAGCTTTTGAGAATCTCAAGAGACACTATCAAAGATAAATAGCATTACCGTTATCACAGGGTGAAAATAAGACTGCAAAATCAAGTATAAAACAAAGCCTCTCTCTCAGAACATGAAAAACATTTGTGCCCATGAGCCTTATCTATCACTCTCTAGTCTCTTGGCAAATGTTAATGAATGAAGTTCAAATTACAACCTCAACCACTATCCTCCACTGAAACAGAAATTGTAAAATATACTAGCCTGATAACCCTTCTACCTCTGGATAACACATAAGTTATACCCCATTGGTTCTCAACCTGTGGGTCATGACCCCTTTAACAAACCTCTACCTCTGAAATCATTTACATTATGATTCATAACTGTAATAAAAATGCAGTTATGAAGTAGAAACAAAGTCATTTTGGGACACCACAACATGAGGAACTGTATTAAAGGGTGGCAGCTTTAGGAAGGTTGAGAAGCACTCCTCTAGCCTAGCACATGAGATCTCTCAAAGACCCAGGATTATTCTTATCCTTGAACTGTATTATTCAATGACACTCCCAAGGAAATAGCCAAAAAGGAAATAATTTAAATTCCCAAAAGTTAATTAACTAAGAGCAAACACCGTGGAAATTATTCTGAAACACAGCATACTTCTCCCTAGAACTACAGGGTATCTGACATGTTTATATCCCTTTAAAATGCTCAGTGTCATTGTGATCACCACAGCCACCAGATAATCTAGAAAGTGAACTTGGAAACTACTTCTGAATTAACCCTGATATAATAACTTCTTACATAGTCTCCCCCATTCTTCTAAAGTCACAGGCAGCAAGACAGTTTGAGCCCAGTACACTGCTCCCTCCTGAAGACAGGAACTAAAAAGCAGAGTTTAATCTACTTCTACAAGCCAAGAGCTGTTCAGTGCATTGGTAACTCCCTGACAGAAAGTAGGTATTAGAAGATATCTTGTCTAACTAAGCAACAACATTATACTAACTACTTAATTTCATGTCATACCAGTTAGTTTTTAATACAGTAACTATTCTGCCTGCTCCAAGTATAAACGTTTGGTCTGTGGAGAAATAAACACATTCTTCAAAAGCAACTAGTCATCTGTGTGTAACCTCATAAACTGAGTAGCACCTGGCAAGAACTGATAGTAGAGGGCGGCGGAGGGGAAAGGTTAGTGATGGCTGCTTCCAGCCTGCCCCTGCTGCCCCTGCCATGTCTGATAAGCACCCCTCTGCTTCTTATGGTTGGCTGGTTGTCACATCCTCTCAGCTCTGTACCCAGAGCAAGTTTTTGCGACCCATTTCCCCCTGGGTGATGCACTTTTTGCAGACCATAGGGCTCTCCAGGGTAAACTACATCTGCCCTCTGCTCAAGATGGTTAGAACCCTCACATGCCCATCCTCTTTTCCCAGGCCACACAGGTGGTTTGGGGCAAGATATTCCAATTCCACGAGAGAATGGCTTCAAAAGTTGCCCAATCTCAAAAGAAGGCTCACTAGATTAAGCAGAACATTACTGAGAAGTCAGAGATAAGAGGAGAAATTAAAAACAAATACTAAAGAGGAAGAAAAAACAGATTTTTCTTTCTAAATTTGTTTTTTTGAAACAGGGTTTCTCTGTATAGCCCTGGTTGTTCTGGAACTCACTATGTAGACCAGGCTGGCCTCAAACTCAGCCTGCCTCTTCCTGAGTGCTGGGATTAAAGGTGTGCGCCACCACATCTGGCTGTAGGTTCTTTTCTATTTCCATTAAAAAGCTACTGAAGACCTTTTTCCATGAGACAGCCTCAAAGACTTAACAGTCAAATGTGAATATTAGATTTCCTTTATGTATATTGAAAAGGACTAGAACAGAGTGGCTGGTAAATAGGATTAAGCAGTGCAACCTCCAATCTTCACGTATTAAAGCCACTTGGACACTACCAAGTTTTCAAGAGAAGTCAAGAGTGGTAAGCATTTGAGGACATAATACTCAGGCTGAATTAAAATTCTTAGTTTTATTCTAGATTTTAAAATGAGAGGGGGGGGAGAAGGAAGGGGGGAAAGAGGGACAGGGGAGAAAACCTGGAAAAATTCCAGAATCTCAACAATTAAAACTCATCTATTTGCCTTATAAAATAAAAAAAATGCTTAAATGCGAACACATACCACTTTGTATTTAAAATTTCCCTACTTTTTTTAACTCAATAAATTTACAGCTTTTTCAAGAAGATGGTGTGGTTCAGCAGTACAGTAACTACTGCAAGTTTAATCTCCAGTACCAAAACAAGTAGTTCATCTGAAAACCTCAAATAGGGTGTTTTGGATCTAGCCAAGCACATTTTCAGGCATATTTTACTGCTAAACTCAAAAAACAATGACTAGGTTAACAGATTACAGCAAAACATAATGACAGGAAAGTCTTCCTATTATGTTCCCCAAGACAAATCATGTACATGGAAAATGACCTTCTGGCCAACTACACTTCAAATTTCCAAAACAGAAATAACTTTACTGAGGAAATGGCACTTGTAAAAACAAAACAAAACAAAAAAATTCACTTATTTTCACCCACAATATTCATCTGCTTACCTCACCCCTAAGCTTCAGCTTCAATCTCAACTGCAGAAAAGACACTCAGGTCCACAGTTCTGTAATTTCTAAAGGGAACATGAGTGTTTCGCCTGCAGGTATGGATGCACATTAAGTGCCTGCAATTGCTAGATGAGGGAGGGAGGGACGGCATCAGACCCTCTAGAACTGGAGTCACAGAGGATTGTGAGCTGCCATGTGGATATCTAACCTGGGTCCTCTGTAAGAGCACCATCTCTTACATACTAAGCCATCTCTCAGCTCTGGAATTACTTTTTAGAATGCAATTCTAGTCAGCTGATACCTAATTCACAAAAGTCAGGTGTAGTAGCACAGAAAGCAGATCTGTATGAGTTCAGGTCATCCTGGTCTACATAGGCTAGGCAGGGCAACTTAAATTCTGACTCAAAGTAAAAACAAAATACCTGAACAACCATGTGTCACTTTCATTAAATGCTCTGTGTACAGCAGGTGCCACTGAGATGGCTAGCCTGTAGAGGCATTTGCTATCAAGCCTGATGACCCAAGTTCAATCCCCAAGACCCACATGTGTAGAAAGACAGAACTAACTCTGACAAGTTGTACCAACTTCCAAATATGCACTTTGGCACATATGAAGCCCTACACATAAATACATAATGTAATATATTTTTTTAAAAAGCTCTGTGTGGCTAAAGTGATTAGCATGTGATTAACATTTTAAAATTCCTACGAGATTTGTAAGAGCTAGCTTTAGCTAGCGAGCTATGTTTTCTTATATAAGACAGTCTGCTGAAGACAAAGTGCAATGTTACCCATACCCAACCACTCAACTGGCCTCCCCACAGATCACAGGTCAAAAGTGCAGGAAAAGTTGATTCAGTGAGGTGGCCTGCTGCAACAGAAGACTTTCACCTAGGGACAAAGCTCTACTCCAGGAAAGTCAGGCTAAGGTAAGAGTGAACTGCCCACATCTTTCTTCTGCTGCAGAGGTGCACTATAACATGGCTTGTCAAAACTGAAGTCTCCTCTCACACCAACCTGGCAAGGTTTCCATTCCACTCCTACAAAGCTAATCTGTGCCTCAGTAAACAAAGTGTTCTAGGCATTTAACTTAATCAAATTAACCTTAACTTGTTATGTAGTAAGGATTCTTATAGGACCATACATTAAGCAAGAATAATGGGAGGGGAGGACAAAACAAAATTACTTAAATGGTAAATGAAAAATAATGAC